TGTTATACTTTTAAATTACAAATTGGTAGGAAGTCAGATACCAACTTGTTGGTATTGTTAATGATTAACTTTTTAGTCACTGTGAATAGTTGTCTTAATATTTGACAATTTAAACTTTAACATGATGAATTAATCTCAATGTTCTGCGTCTTGATAGGATGTTTGTTCCATTTCTGGGGGTTACTATGAAATGTAAATCCATTTTTGTAATAAAGGGCACAAACACACATACTGGCATTTCCAAGAAGCCATATGATTGAAGATGATATTTCCCTGATTGATCTTTTCTTTACTGTCTTTCCTGTGTTCTATGTTCCTCCTTAAAATTTTAAATAATTACACAGTAAGGAACATCCCATATATGAAAGTAACATAGAGATGCAAGTTTCCCTTATTTGGAAGTGCATATGTGATAGCCCTTCCCTCAGTGTCAATATTTTGAAATTTTCTTTAAAACCTTGCAGCCTGAGATATAGTTACATAGGATGTTTATTGATTGAAGGAAAAAAACATTGATTTCCTGCCAGATTGAGGAATTAGACTTTTTATCATTTGTGCATTTCTTGTTTATTCCTGTACATAGGAAAAGTTTGCTTACATATGTTCTGAACAGTTGATGTGTTGATGTGTCCTTTTAGTCTGATTTTCTAGTTTCCTGTACAATAACGATTTTCCTTTATGGTGTGATTTATTTTTTATTTAGGATTTTCTGCCGTTTCTTTGCAAAAATGGCAACCAGTGATGCTGTTCTGAAGAGACTAGAGCAGAAAGGTGCAGAGGCAGATCAAATTATTGAATTTCTTAAACAGCAAGTTGCTCTTCTCAAGGAGAAAGCAAGTAAGCAAAGGAAAAATTTTCTAAGGAGATAGTAGGTAAACTGTATTCATACATTGACAATAAAAAAAAGGTTGCTTACCATATAAATTATTACTAAATCGTATAATGGCAATTTTTAGGTATCTTTAATATTTTAATTTTGTGTGAAATAATAAAGAACATATAATTCCATAGAACTTGTTATGGAGGTATTTTTTCTGAAATGCTTTTTATATTTTTTACAATATTTCTTGTAGGTTTTATCAAGAAATTGCTGACATGTAAAAAATATGAATTCAATTTCTACTTTAGAATTTGAGTTGAATTTTTCCCGGTGTATGGCAATGAAGTGAAATATTTTGATTTTATTTATTTAAATGTATTTAATTTTTCAGTGGTCAATGTTAATATCAAGTCTTTTGCCATCACTAAGGGAAACATGCTTTTCACTGCTACATAAGGCTGAATCGCTCACAAGATCCTACTTGTAATTGTAAGATGCTGTTATAATTACTTTTCATAATTTTTCATAACATTTTAAGATTATTTTTCTTAAAATTGATAAAGGATTTTTCTTACTGTTTTTCCTAAAATTCTCAGTGTTTCTTTTGGTAAAGTTGATTTTCCCCCATTGGTAAACTGGATTTTCTTGATACTAGTCTTGCAGGCAACTTTGAGAGAAGAGAAGAAACTTCGAGTTGAAAATGCCAAATTGAAGAAAGAAATTGAAGAATTAAAACAGGAGCTCATTCAGGCAGAAATTCAAAATGGAGGTGATTAAATATAGAATGATCAGTTGCTTTGAATTATAGTAATTATACCATTTATTGTTAGGTATTATGCTTGATTTCTCCCTTTTCCTCATGGCAGCCTTTCTCTTGCATTCATCTTCTTTATAGAAAAGAAAATCGACACTGGGAAAGTGGCAAAGCTGTGCTTTTAAAATTCGTGCTTTCATCTGTTTTCTGCTTCAACTTGATCATCATAGTTGTCTATTGACTAGTTACTGAAAATAAGCCATAATCATTTTTTAACATTAGGTTTTGTTGTGTACCCTGGACTTCATATGTATTAAGCATTTTACCCTAATTTACCCGAAATCATACTCGTCAGCATATCATTATCATTTCAACTACTGTGTCATAAAAATAAAACTAAACTTTATTTTTTAAAGATTTCAAGATAAAATTGCATTACTGTGTCATAACTACAAAAATAGTTCTATTATATTTCAGAGTATTACAATGAAACGTTATTGACTATATAGTAGCGAATCCTTCCATGGCAAGCTAAGGGGCCCTACATATAGTGAAAGTGTTTCTTACTATACTTCTTTTTGACCATTATTCTCCAGTGAATTATCTTAGATGGTAGAGTATAAAGTCTACCTTTAGATAAAATAAAGTAAGGGAAAATCAATATTATGTTGAAAACTATCAACTTAAGAGAATATTTGTCACTGGATAATTTGAGACTAATCGATGTTTTCAATCGATGTTTCCGATCCTAGGTGATTTGGAACATAGACATAGAATTAAATCAGCAGTTAAATCATAGCATTTAAAACGGCTTTTTCATTTCTTCCTTTTCTAGAAAATTACCCTATAAACATTTCAACTTTGATAAGATGGCAAAATAAACCAGCTGTTTGAATTAAAGTATTGAATTTTTCTAATGAAGAAACATAAAATAGGGATACATAAAATATGAAGTTACTGAAATGAGCAGTTAACCTCCAGAGATCTTAAAAATATCTCAGAAGACTGGTCTAAACATTGGTCAGCCTCTAAACCTCAGCAAAATCCCTCACTAGATCATTATATCTTCATGTTGACTTGGCTTTGAGAATATTTCTGACATTGCTGGTGGAATTTTATTTGCTTGTTTCCTAAAATAGAGAATCATGCAAGTAATGCTCTCTCTTCAGTAATTCTGATACAGAAATTAACTTTTTGAGGTGAGAATATTTGCATTTAGATTCTTGCTCTCCATCTGTTGTCTTCACTTCTGTAGAACTCAAGCCAGTCATCTTTAAATAGGAATATGGTTAGAACTCCATGCTCAGGGTACTTTTGAATCGCACAATTTAGTTCATTGAAAGCATCTTCTAAAATACCCAGAATGTAGTAAAGCCATAGTAAATATTAGGCATCATTGCTATTATTATTTGTAATTTTTGTCATTTGAGTCATTTGTGACTAAATGAAGATACTTCATTTATTCTTTTATCATGACTAGTATATCCTTAACTTCTTGACAACTTGATAACCTTCTTTATAATCACTTTCAGTAGCGTTTATATATATATAGTGAGTTCCTGTTTGAAAACTGTTCTTTTTTGTTATTCATAATTTTATAGTTTACATCTTTTATTCTTGGCTTATATTTCATTTTTGTTTCAGTGAAACAAATACCGTTACCATCTGATACTCCAATGCAAGCTAGTTCTTTGATTTCTGAAAATGTGATACAGTCTATTCCAGTAACAACCATATCTTCTGGTGCCAAAGAACAGGTAAAAGAAGGAGGAAGAGGAGAAGAAAAGAAGGTAAAAGAGAAAACTGAAAAGAAAGGTATTCTTTTTAAATCTTAAAGCTTATTTGACTCTTTTTTTGAGACAGTATCAACTTTTTGACAGTTTCAGAATGTAATTTGGTGTTTTTTTTTTTAGGTTGAGGTAATACTGGTTTATGACATAGAAATTGATTTAGGGCAGTGTGTTCACATCCCAATTTCAGACCTTTGGGACTGAATTAAAATAATGAATGACTTCGACAATAATAAGTATAATTCTCGTTCAGAAAATACACCTAGGAACCCACCTCTGCTTCTTTTTATTAGGTGCTACCTTAGTTTGAGTTCAACCTCTGCATCATCTTGCTTCTATTCATACTCTTTTCTTCTAAGCATAAATCTAACTCCCTTTTATTATATGCTCCTTTGCTCCTGTTTATATCATTGATCTAAAGAGGTCTAAAATAATGCTTATACAATTCCTTATACATGTCTCGTATTAGTCACACTCACTTAAATGTCTTTTTAAACTGTAAAATGTCTGAGGATTTGTGAGCTCACCTAAGCCAGTTCTGTATATAGAACTTGTCACCTCCTTTTGATAAGCATGGGTAACTTCTGTTGGTTTAAGGTAGACAAGGCTATACAGCCTCTTCTATATCACTTCACCACTAGGTGGTATGGTTACAATGAAAGCAAGTCAGTGTAGTTCTTCTACTTTATAAAATTTATTGAGAAATGAGCTCAAAACAACTGTATAACTTGTTCTTAAGTTTGGTGAGATCTGTGCTCAGTTCCCTAGCCAGGGTGCACTGTTATTCCAATCACAGGATCAGTTAGCCTGAGTCAAATGAGACAGCCCCCTTGGGTGTGGAGGGCAACACAGGGCTCAGTGGAGCTGTAGGTCTAGATCTGGCAGTTGGAGCTCTCTGTGACGATGGAAATGCTATGCGTCCCCACCCACCAACCACAGCTGTCTGCCAGTTGAGCCTGTGGTGTATTCTATTGTTACTGATGTTAGAACTGAATTCTTGCTTTTTTGAATTTAAATGTAAATAACTACTTGTCTCTGACACTGAGGTATTAGATGTTGTTGATACAGAGGATCATTTCGTGGTGTTTTACTGCTACATTGTCAGATCCAGAATTCCTTTCCTACAAGGTCTGTGGTACCCATTAAGTCTTCATCACTGTTGGATATAAGCATCACTTATTTTCAGTGAGACATTCGTAAAATCCCTTATGAAGACTATCAAAGTTCTTGTTAAAGATTTTAACATTTGCAGTCCCCTCTGGAGTGTAGTGATTTGATAGTCCACATGCCTGGCAAGGTATTTAAAATGCGTAGGAAATAGATTAAAGTTAAAAAGAGGGCCTCCCTGTTGTTGTAGGGGTAAGTCACAGCGCTATCACCACTATGGCCTGAGTTCCTGGCCAGGGAGCTGACCCACATGGCGCACCAGACCTCTCCTGTTTTCGCCCACTACCACCTTCAGCAGTGTACTTCAGTAGATCTGCCTGTTCTGTTCCCCACTCTGTCTTTGGTGAATCCTCTCATCCCCTGTATATCTTGCCTATATCCCAGTTCTTGTATGTATAAGTAAATAAAAATAAATCTTGAAAACTATGTTAAAAATTATGACTATAGATATAGCAGATGGTTACATTGTAATTTTTTTAAAAGATTTATTTATTTATTTATTTATTCATATAGAACTGGGGTACAGGCTAGAGATGCGGAGGGTGAGAGGATTCACCCCGAGACAGAACAGGGAGTAGAACAGGCAGATCAATGAAGTACACTGCTGAGGGGAGCAGCAGGCGAGTCAGGAGAGGTCTGCCGCGCCATGTGGTCACCTCCGGGGTAGGCGGGGATCGAACTCATCCGGAAGTGGCTTAAGCTTCTTAGTGCTGTGCTTTAACCTGCTGTGCCACCAGGGAGGGCCACATTGTAATTTTTAAAGTAAATATAGTTTATGACTCAAAGATATCTACTATTAAGATTTTGGTGTATTTTTTTTCTTGAAGTTGTACATATATAAATCATTTGGATTTTTACCATTAAAAACCTTTGTTGGGGCCATTCCTGGTGGCGCAGTGGGTTAAAGCACAGCACAAAGAAGCTTAAGCCACTTCTGCATGAGTTCGATCCCCACCTGCCCCGGAGGTGACCACATGGCTCTGCAGACCTCTCCTGACCCGCCCACTGCTCCCCTCAGCAGTGTACTTCGTAGATCTGCCTGTTCTGCTCCCCGCTCTGTCTCTGGTGATTCCTCTCACCCTCCGCATCTCTGGCCTGTACCCCAGTTCTGTACGAATAAATAAATAAATCTTTAAAAAAAAACTTTGTTAATTAAGTACTTGGAAAATGGTTGTTTTTAGTTTTGTTTTTACAAATTAGCTAATAAGATTAAAATTGTAAAGTATTTTAAGCAATATTGCTACCTCTTTTTTAAAAAATATACATTTGAATAGCCTCTACACATAACTTTCCTTTCATACTTAGGAAGAATTATCCTTCTTTGTTTCTATATTTGTGTATAAATTTTATCACATATTCATCATGTAGATGTCTGTTTTCTTTAAAAGAGATTTTTCTGTGCCTTGACACATGGACCATTTTACCTTACTCTTTCAACAGTGCCTTAAATCTCAGTAAATATTGGCTCAAAGATTAAACAAAGGTACAGTTGAGAAGAAATGGCCTCCAAACCATAATAGTTTCTATTATCTCATCAGGTTGAAAGCTGTTTATGGATTTACTTTGTCCCATAGTCTCTTCTGCTCAAGAAGCTACTATGAACTTCTGGAATATGAACTAATTGTAGATTCCATTTTGGCTCATTAACGAAAGCAATATTATGTTGAGAATTAGTTACACTGTCAGTTTATAAATAAAAATAGAATTGATTGCTAAAATACAATCCCAACAAAATGTAGATAAACCTACAAACTCTTAAACCTTCAGGGAAGTCTAAAAAATAGAAAATTCTTCATTTATTTACCAGTGTGCTTAACTGGTGGGAAAAGCGCTTTGTCAGTAAAACTAAAGTTCCTTTCATTAATTAACTACCAATTGTGGTATTGTTTTTAAGTTATGGGGTTTCTTGATCTGAAAGAGTCACAGTGAAAATCTTATAGTATTTTCTCCAGGTAGTTTAGGGACTGATATGCTTTCTCTGTAAAGGGCCATGTAGTTAATGGTAAGCCTTGAAAACATTAAAGTTTTCAAATTACTGAATAACTCTTTCATTTGTTACATTTAAATGAAGGTAGATTGAATAACACATTATTTTATTCTTACCAGTATTGATGCTAGGGGATTTTTCATATTGTGCTTTTTTTTTTCAAGATTTATTTATTTATGCATATAGAGCGGGGGTACAGGGCAGAGGTGTGGGGAGTGAGAGGACTCACCAGAGACAGAGAGGGGAGCAGAACTAAGTTGAGGCAGCTCAACTAAGTACATTGCTGAGGGGAGCAGCGGGCAGGCCAGGAGAGGTCTGCTGCATCATGTGAATCACCTCTGGGGCGGGGATCGAACTCATGTTGAGGTGGCTTTTGCTTCTTAGTGCTGCGTTTTAACCTGCTACACCACCAAGCAGGGCTCTGTGCTTTTGTTTTACTTCTAATGCATCCATTCAATATTTTTTAGGAGAGAAAAAGGAGAAAAAGCAGCAGTCAGCAGCAGGAAGTGCTGACTCTAAGCCAGTAGATGTTTCTCGTCTGGATCTTCGCATTGGCTGTATCATCACTGCCAAGAAGCACCCTGATGCAGATTCTCTGTATGTGGAAGAAGTGGATGTTGGAGAAACAGTCCCAAGAACAGTTGTCAGTGGTCTGGTGAATCATGTTCCTCTTGAACAGGTAATCTGTACAACTGAAATTGTTGCTGTTCATTACTGCCCCAAATGCTAGTTGGCTTTGTGAACTTGGACAAAGTTCTGCATTCACTCATATTTCTAGATGCAAATAATTATTGACACCTGAAATACAGCAGGACCTATTTTAGAAATGTGAATGTAGTAATGACTCAATACAGACAGATACATAAATATATTGTTTCTTTTCTTTTATACCTTTGTGACACATTTCTATGGGCAAGTCAGAAAATTGCAACATCTGGTGTTTTAAGTGGTGCTCATTCAAGAGAAAATGAAGTAGGCAAAGTTCCTAGGAAATCCTGAGGCTACCACTCTGTCTTTTCATATAAAGCAGCCAGGGAACACCTGACATAGCAAGTGACCTTTAAGTAGTATAAGGAAAGATAGAAAACCAGTTAACCAGTTAGATGTCTATGTGATGGTAGAGTATTTCGGCAGCCCCATGCCGTATGTCAGCTTGGGGTCTTCAGTGAACAGTGGTGGCCAATGTGTCTGGCAGAGTGTGCAAGAGGGATCTCAGGGGAGATGAAGTCAGAGATTAGGGTTTTAGGTGACAGGAGTCTTACAGATCATGTGAAATGCCCACCTGACTTTGATTCATGTGAGATGAAAGTCCTTGAAGGGTTTTGAGCTGAGTAGTGCGGTCTACCTCACATGTTAATAGAATCATTGAATTGCTCTTTCGAGGGAAAAGAGATGGAATTATGAGATAAATGAAGATCTTACTATGAAAAACAGACGTGGCACATACATGAGACTTTTGTGTTTTTTTTTTTAAACTTTTTACAATTCATCTGGTATAGGGCCAGAACTCTAGGAGGAAAGAACAGTTATAGTAAACATTCTATTAGCATTCTATTAGCATCCCTCCCCAAATTACATACCAGATTTATCTAAGGTAAAGGTCCACAAAGTCATCTGATGTTTAAAAGATTATACCTCTCCTATCCTATAGTTTTTTTCACACATATTTTCTGTACCTTTTTTTTAAGTGTTCATATATGTGGCATTTCCCAGTTACTTATTTGACAAAAAAGTTTTATTCATGAAGAATTTAAAAAGGAGACTTTCTGAATTCATGTGTTTACTTCATTTTTGTAATCTTAGAATTTTGGGGTATTTTTGCACATAATATTTATAAAACTATCTAGAATGCATCTACTTTTCTCTGGCAGTGATAGTCCTCTTCTGTTTGTTTCCAGTCCTCTTCTGTTATTTTAAGTTAAATTCCTTCCACTGAAAGAATTTTGATAATTTTGTGTCATATTTTTGCTAGTTGAGGACAAAATTAAGACACTTTAACCTCTTATGATTAAAGAATGTCTGTTTACTTCTATAACAAATAGAGTAGCCGTAAATATTAATTCCAGCGTGTGTAATGCTGAAATAAATGGTGAGTATCTTTTGATTCAGATATTGAATCTTATATACTATGTCCAGCTTTGGAGGGCAGAATGATCATGCAGTTATTTTAATGCTAGGACTTAGCTCAGTACTTTATATACCTGTTATGATTGAGTCCTTGTGACACCTCTTGAAGTCTGGTCATCTCCCTCATTTTGTGAGGGAACAGGAACAGCAGCTGCACTGTTGTATTGCTAGTTGGTGATGGATAATGTTCAAACCAAATCAGCTTCTAAGTCACTTACTTATTTGCAGTAACAATTTAATTGAAAGGCCTTACCTTTCTTCTCTCCATGGTGATGTACTGTCTATTTGTTGATTTTTTTTTTCATTTTTAATTGAGATTTCATAAGAATAACACAAAATTTTGGACATGTAAAGATACCTCCACAAAATTAGAATATTTGATATTTGGCGTATTTATTGTACCTTAATGTATTCTAGTTCCTGAGTTCTGGCACCTCTTTAATTATCAACTTAACATTTTACACAGATGCAAAATCGGATGGTGGTTTTACTTTGTAATTTGAAACCTGCAAAAATGAGAGGAGTGCTCTCTCAAGCAATGGTGATGTGTGCTAGTTCCCCGGAGAAGGTGGAAATCTTGGCCCCTCCTCAGGGGTCTGTCCCTGGAGACAGAATTACTTTTGATGCTTTCCCTGGTAGGTATTCATTAGTCATTATTTAAGTAGTGTTGGAATTACAAGCAATACTTGTAATATTGAAGTTTCCCTATATTTCACGTATATGTGAAGCTATGTCTTGGTTCTGACTTGTTTCTCTTAGCATTTTCCTCTACTATTCTATTCATGTTATCACAAGTGACTGAAGTTCACCTTCTTTTTTTAAATAGCTAATAGTATTCATGAGTGCGTGCGTGTCTGTGTGTGCATGCGCACACATGCATGGGTGTGTGTGTATACAGCACATCTTAATCTACTTTAATCTGCTCATCTGTTCTTGGATTCTAACGCCTAACCCAGCGGAACAGCATCCAGTAATTATTATATTTGGACATGGAGTCTGTTAGTACTCATCTTGTTCTTCCACATCAGTTACTGCTTCTGTAGCAGTAAATCTGAAAGGAAATAACAGCTAATACAACACAATAGAACATTCGTCTTATTTTTTTCCCTTTTCCCAGAGAGAGCCATGATTTATCAGTGCGTTATTTTTCCACATCTGGTTTACATTTTAAACCTTAAGGTGTCTGCTGGTACATTTTGATGTTCACTTGATGTGCTTAGTGTCTTGAGATTTTCATTTTGTGTGCTATATATTAAGTGTGGTACAGAGATTGAAATGGGGCACAGCCCTTTGAGCTGCTGGTTTTCTTTTAAGACTTTTACACTTAACGACCATTTTCTCCAACTACAAAACCAGAAAGCTCCACATAGTTTAGAAAAAGGCCAAAAATACTTCTTTAGCAATGGCTAAAACTTCTCCCCACCCAATACTTTTTAAAATCCTAAATGTGTAGAGCTATAAATTTTGTCATTTAAGTACGGTCACAGCTCCCTAAAGCAAAAACAACTAAAAAATATTCGACAGCTAGGAGACAGTACTATTTTTTGGTCTAAAAAAAAAAAATGAGACTTTGTATTCAGACTTTTTAAACTTATTGTTTTAACTTCCAACATGTTTATTTCTGTTGCTGTTGAGGCTTATTGATAAATATTAGTGAATGGTTAATCACAAAGTATATATGAGATGCAAGAGTGTTTAACTTTTGGATCCGTTCTTTCTTTAAAGTAAGTGAAAATGCTTCCTTATTTGATTGTCCTCTCTGAAACACATTTTAGTCACCAGAAATGCTATGGTCAAGATTACCAAATGCTCCTCGTAGCTAACACATGACTGGTTCTCAGTCCTGTTCACTGCTAACTTAATTTTGGGACCCACTTATTTTTGGGACACCTTCCTGGTGCTTCCCCTTGCTTCACTGGCTGCTCTTCTCTTCACCTTTGCTGACTTCTCCATACCTCCCTGGTCTCTTAACTTGTCGTGCCCCACACCTTGATCCTTGACCTCCTCATTTCCTTGGTTATTTTCTCCATCACTTCTCCAGGTTCCCACTAGACTTTGTCACTAACGTGAACTGGGGAAGAGGAGCTTATTTCCCAGTCTGTACCCTAGAATTCCCCTTTCTGTGTTGGTGTTTTCCATGTCTTTGGACAGCAACTCCACTCTTCTAGTTGTTTTTGTTTTCTTAGCCATCTTCCCCTTCAGAAAATCCTTGTAGTGGTGCCTTCTGAACTATCTAGAATCATTGTCATCATCACCACCACCACGCCTACTTTGATCCTGTTGCCGACATCTCTTGGCGAAAACACAAAGCCTTTTGCCAATCTTCCTGTATGTCCTGCCCTTGTTTTATGTCTGTTTGGTTATAGCAGACAGAGCAATAGGGGTCTGATTACATTATTTCTCTGCCCCAAACTTGGTCTTTCCATTGACCGAGAGTATAAACCCAAATCCTTACACAGTCTGCCATTATCTCATTAACCTTACACACTCTAACTCTTCCTCCATCACTCAGTTGAGCTACCCACTCTTCGTCCAGCTAGCCGCATGCCCCCTCCTTGACTTTGTTTTTCTCCAGAAATGTATCATCTGTGTCTACTGTGCATAGTTTATTGTCTGCCCACGTGGAAATGTAAGCATCGTGAAATCCAAGATTTCACTGTTACATTTCTACAATCTGGAAAAATAACAGAGTGAAAACTCAATTACTTGGTTAGTGAATAAATAGAAGGAAACTTGGAAATGATAATAATAAAAAAAATAAACCCATAAGCATACAGTATTTGGGGAACAGAACTGAATATTTGTGTTCATTGTTGCCAAGATCATTTCCCCACACCATTTTGTTTTTAATTGGTTAGTTTGTAAAATTAACTGCCTCCATTATGGCAAAGTTTTACTTGTGTTTTCGTAATGCTAATGGTAATAGTTATTATATTTCAAAAACTCAGTGAATTAAATGCAAAATAATTAAATTAGTGCCAGGCTTTTTATGGCCATCCATGGCAGATATCAGACAAGAACTGATGATCAGTGAACATTTGAGAATGGCCTAATGAAGAGGCAGTTTCTGCTTGTTATTCCATACTTACAAATGCCTGGGACTCTGGAATTTGTATTTATTGTTTTTTAGGTTTTAAATGCTGAAAAGGTGGTCAGAGCTTTTCCTATCTGTACAAACTCTTCTCTAACCTATTACTAGTCCTGTGTGTGTTGTTTAGAAGGTACCGGCCTAAGATAATCTCTGAATGATTAGTTCTCTTTCAATATTTAAACCATTTTCCAGTGGTGATTACTGGCATTTGTCTAGTGATTTCAGAGAATATTCAAGTTCTAGCTTTAGGAACTTTTTATTGATGTCATCACTTGACTTCTTCGGGTAACCATGCCAAAAAGAAAGGAAGGCGTGAGAAAGAAAATTCAGAAAATAAGACTCAGAGGAAGCTTACAAGACACAGGAATGATGAAAGGCTTCTCTGGAAAATATAAATCATTTAAAAAGAAACTCTTTAAACTGTTAGCTATGGTTTTCACAGCAGTGATTTAAACTAATTTACAACTAGCTTTATATCCGACAGGTAGTAAATCGTTGAGTAACGTTTTGAACAGTTTCCTCTGAATCATTGTTTTTTATGGTTGAAGTCTTGGAATTATATTCAGAGTATTTGGGTATTGAGTTTGTGGTAGTAAAAATGGTTTTGGAGGTTCCTCTAGATAGTCTCTAATTCTAGCTCGCCGCACGTAAGTGTAAAATCTTCCTCTCTTGACTCCTGAGTGCTGATGCCCTGGAGTCTTGCTCAGCCTCAGCCTTTTTGTCTAAGAGCAGGGGCTTTCTGTGACTTTCTCTCTCTTATGGGTTTTGGGAGCTCTAACTTTGGAAACACCAACTGTCTGGTATTTTAGGTTCTAGCTTCAAATTTTGAGCCTCAGTGCCTCATCTGTACAGTCAGGTTGCGTTGATCACATTCGTGCAGGGAACTGAGAAGAGTAATTGGGTGAGCTCATTAGGGTAGTGACTGCAGGGTGAGTGTGCGTGATTCTGAGCGCAGTTTGCTGTAGGCGCAGGGCCTTCCTGGGCCTAAGAAGCTTAGTTTTGTGTGCCCCACAGCTTTGTTCACAAGGGCCTGTTGAGGTATGCATTCAGCGACACACTGCCCGCGTAGCCAGTGTTGACACTGTGAAGCTGTCACACAGATCTGCTCTGCCCTTTGAGCTGGCGCATTATCATTTGTCCATTTTTTCCAGACGCATCATTACTCAGAGCTCCCTGCAGTGTCACTGCCTTGGGCTTCTGAGAACGCTGTACTGCTTGCTCCCCATGAGATCTGTGTCCAAGCAGCGTGGTTTACTACTGAGGCATAATTTAGAAGCAGAATCAGAATTTACAGTTTCTTTCTTGTCTCTTCCTATACTGAGAAAGGACAGGATTTCTCAGTCTTCCTTAATAGCAGTATGGTCTTCTATATTACATGCAGCTTTTGGTGAACTACTCTATCATCTTTGAAAGCCTTTGTAACAGAGGAAAGCTTTTTTATGTTCTTGCCTGCCTTATGGCAATTTTTGAAGAATTAATAAAGAAGAAAACTAGCATGGGCAACAAATTTATTTACCATTTTTATTTCTATACATGTATGAGTCGAGAATAAACACCAGTTTAAATACTAAGATGTGATAGATACAGAATACAATTATCCCCAGTAATGTTTAAATAATTCTTTTGTAAGTATTTCTGAGATTTCAGTTAGGGGTCACTTAGGCTTCTAAGGCTTCTTACCATTATGAATTACACTTTTGAATGATTGTACTCTCTCTGTTGCCTACTGGAAAATTATTTTCTGTTTGAATCTAATGCTTAAGAAATAGGTTACTTATCTTCATTGTTTCTTGAAGCAATATTTTATCCCACTTGAACATCACCAGCTACTAAAATGATGTTTTTGTTGAGCATTATTCTCTATTTTCTTATTATTCATTAGAAGAATTGCTTTATATTGGTTGCCTTTAAGCCTAGACCAGGTATTTCCTATAACATTCTGGTTGTATTGATCGTGTTTTACGGCGAGTGTTTTATTATAGAGAGGGTTGGGTTATCATCCACAAACAAGAGGCGCTTTTGCTTCTCTCTGTACAGCTTGTCACGAGACAGGATCTAGCCAAACAGGGACACTGCTGTCACATCTTGGCTCCTCTTTTAGTTGTGCATCTTACCTTCTCTGGCCCCAGTCTCTCTATGCTTAAAATTCCGTGTGAAATCTTGCCTCCTCACTGTTGTTCTCTGTCCAGTCAATCATGTGGGCAGGGCAGCAGATGAAATCCACAAGGGTCCTGTGGTTAGCTGGCAGGCTGTGGCCTTTGAGCCCTTGTAGTGCTGATCGCTGGCTTGTACATAATTTTGCATTATCTAGTCAAGTTATTTGGTATTTTGAAGCTTACTGAAAGGAAGCAGAAGCCGCCTTTATTCACAGTTTTTCTCTTTATATGTACTAATAAGTATACTTTTGTTTTATTGATTGGGAGAATAAAGTCATTGTACTGGATTTTCTGCAGAAATATTTAAGAATAGAAAATAGTATCTTTAACATTTTTTAGGAAATGCCAAGCAGGAATGCCAATCAGGAATATAAACTGGCATTATTAAAAATAATTGTTAATATTCTCACCAGCTCTGAAGATCAGAAAGCACTGCTAAGACAATTTACTGGAAATATCTGTGGACTGTTTGTTAATATGTTAGCTATATAATTTTTCCCCTAACAGGAGAGCCTGATAAGGAGCTGAACCCTAAGAAGAAGATCTGGGAGCAGATCCAACCTGATCTTCACACCAATGACGACTGTGTGGCTACGTACAAGGGAGCACCCTTCGAGGTGAAAGGGAAGGGAGTGTGCAGGGCTCAGACAATGAGCAACAGTGGAATAAAATAAAGGAAAAATCCTTCAACTACTGACATGACAGTAATAAAATGAAATGTTGGTCAATTGTTAACCTAAGATATAACTGGCTCATTTTGTTTTATTTCTCTTCTAGACTTGACTAGTGTTTCAAGCCTGGTATATGTTCTTTTCAGTCAGTTGGAGAAATGCTACATTTTCATCTCTCTTACTTGGGAGGAAATTGCCTCTTTTCTGATGATTTATTTTTAGCATGGGTGTAGATTAGCAGACTTTTTTTCTTTTGACTTTTAGATTGTTTGAACTAATTAAGGATTTAGTGTCTCATTTGAAGGCTCATAATGCATGTGATGTTAAGTCCTTGCATTTTTAGTAGAGCTTATGTCTGTATTATAGATGCCCTATAGTCTTCACCAATGACAAGTTAGAGTTTAAACAGGTTTATTAACTAGTCATCTTTTAATGGTATTTAAAATGACCAGGTGTTGAGTCTAGAGAGCCAGATGTCTTAGAAGCCAGGAGACATGGGGCTAGAACTTTATTGCTCTTGTTGCCAGCATCATCCAGGTGCTCACATGCACAGTGACTTTTTGCAGCACTGAAGTTTCCAAACTGTGTATTTAATTTTTTTTTTCCATGTAGCAAAGTAATTAGTAATACAGTTTGACTGCAGCATAAATGTACTGTATGGTGTTGCTAGTGACATTCCACTGAGTTGACAGTAAAAGCAGCAGTATGTATTTTTCACTGTAGCTGATTTATAGATCCATTGGGTACCTAATGAAAAATTATAGCTTATTATCTTTAGAAGAGGATTTAACATCAAGCTACTTTGTTTTTCCATGTACCCTACTACTGTCAATTTTAAAATAAGTATAGCCATAAACTTAACATACATGTGTTAAGTTAAATAATTTGTTACATATGTGATATACATATATGAGTTAAATTTAAAAAATAATAGTCATAAACTTAACATTCATGTGTATTAAGATGTCAAATATCTATTTTCACTCGTCTTACAGATATTGTAGGACCAATGAAAATTAATTTAGGAATTATGAGCTTCAAGTTCACCAGCCTTCAGATGATGACTGATCATTTGAGCTTCCAATAGAGAAATGCATCCTTGGAGGTAGGAGTATAGATAAGTTCAAAAGAAAACTCAAACATAGAATATTTTAGCACTGTAACTCTTTATAGTATCTAATAAGGAAAAGCAAAAGAAAAAATGTTTTGAACAGTTCTGCATGCCCAGTTATAAAATGTGCAATTACAGTTCATTTAAGTTCACGGAGTTCTGGTAAACCAGGTTTGGTACTGTTATAAAGTGTAGTCTGAATAGCAACAGAGTATCATCAATCTCTGTTGACAGCTAGACCATTAGCTAAATTTTAGAACTTATTATGTACTCATATTAATGTTATTTTGGGAATAAAAACTATGGCAGTCCTTTGCGACTCTATATTATGTAATTTTTCCCAATTATATTAAATTTCTTTATGGAACTCATGTAATTTAAAGGATGTTTAATCTACTTAGTTGAAATATTTATTCTCAAAAAGTGAAATGCACTGGTGTAGAATAAATTATCTGATGTTTTTATAGTGAAACCCAAATTAATGATTATATCACATATAGAAGCAGAAATACTAGTTTTTTTTTTTTTTGTGAAAGCCCATGATGTAGCATTGCCAACAGCTGATTAATGACTGAACTTTATGAATTTTTACCACAAAGGACTACATTATGAAGATTTCATTTAGCCTTTTTCAAAATTATACCTTGTTAATGTTACCAAACAGCCTTGCTTCCCTCTGTAATACACCCAGAACATGAACATTTGTGTTAAAGAGTACTGAAGAGAAAGAAGTTGGGAGTTAATAAGGAACAAATTTCCAAGCTATGTAGAAATCATTACTCAATGTGCTATCAGTGTTACCTCAGTTAGTTGCTATTTTTACAGAAAATTTCGTTCTGTTTTACTTGTATTGGGACAAACAAGTGCTGTCAGAATTAACAAAGAAAATAACTTAGTTAGTAAAATGATGGCTGGTCATAGCTCCTCAAGTCAAAAAGAAAAGCTTCCCCTGCCATTGCAAGGTTGGTCTACTCTCTTAAAGTGACTGTTAGCAGGACTGGCTTTTCTTTCATAAAAATAGGCCCTGTGTATTATTCTGTTGAGTATGAGTCCTTTTCAAGACATGTTGATTTTAATGATTTTAAACCTGGAAAAATTTTCCCTACCTTCTACCAAGAACATCAAGTGCTTTATGGGTAGTAGAACTTTAAGTGCTCACCAAACACGTAATTTGGTTTTGCTTGTAAAAGTATACATAAAGGTCCAATAGACTGTATATAAAATATTCAAAGCAACTCATGAAAGTTTGGTTAGAAGCATGTCAACAAAGTAAAGGGTGTGGATGGGGGAGCTGGTAGGTAGCAGGACCCTGCCCATGGAGCAACAGTAGTCAGGCTAACTCGAGTGGGCCCCAACCAGCATTTTGTACATGAGTCTCAAAGATGCTAAATTCATACTACTTGGTACTCACAGTTTCGAAGCCAGATCGCTGCTTTGGGTTCTTGGTTCTACATGCCAGTGTGATCCTAGGCAACTGGCTGGTTACCCTCTCTGTGCCCTCCCTGTCAGGAGGGCTGTACCAGCAGCATTTGCCTTGTATAGTTGTGAAGATTGTGTGAGTCAGTACCACAGGACACTTAGAACCATGCCTGGAAGATCACGGATGAATAGTTTACGAAAGGGATGGCTCTTCCTAGAATAGTGTCTCTCTTCTGGCCCCTTTCCTAGCGTCACGTTTCCTGAGAAATTGAATTCTTGTTGAATTCTGATGCCATTACATGGAAGACATGAAAAGAAACAGTATGTTAAAGAATATTTCCTGAGAGCTGTGGCTCTGTTTGGTCCCTGAAAGATACCCCCTAGAGATGTTTCTTATTGAAACTTTTTCTCCCTGCTCTACATTCCAACTGCAATGTACTTTTTAGATACTTAAGTGCCAAGCTAGCCCTATTAATTGATGTCCTTTCTCTGATTTTGTTACTATAAAGTTTCAAATAGTTTTGCAGTTCTCATAGACTTAGTAGAACAGTATTTCTAACTGTTGTTAGTGTAGCATAAATAAGCAATCCTTTCCAGTTCTTAGTGGGTGGAGAAGTACCTGCTACCTCTAACAAGGGCATTGAAAGAACATGGGCATGGATATATCTCCTCATTTTTTCAAGAAATTTTTGTGTTGTACCTTGAAAAATATAAAAATATCCAAAGCCATGAACTTTAGCTACATAAATGATGACGTAGTCCTGCTTCTGAATACTGTCCAGCTGTGTGGGATTAAACCTCATCACCAAGCTACAAAGAACAATGAGGTACGCAAATTAATATCACTCTGATAATATTGCACATTGCATTGTGGAAAAAGCTTTGCCCTTCAGAAGTTTACTGAAGAAATAACTAGGCTCTTTTCTGTCAGAAGTTAGGGATGCGTAAGTGATACCTATTATGCATTTGAGTGTAGAATTATTTTCAGGCGATTTACTGATTTATAAAGTGCTTTCACATATAACCAGTTTGTTTGTTTTTTTAATTCCATAGAATGGTAGTCATTTTATCAGGAAAAAAATGAAAAGAACAAAATATAAATTCCCATGCTAAGGTTTAACAAGTTGTAGCCTAATCTTCCAATTCTTATTAATCCTTGTGTTCTTCTCCATCCCAGCCCTTTCTTGTCTGTCAGTTAAATAATCATGTGGATTCTTTTATTTGAAAGATAAGTTAAACTTCTATTTACACTGTCAGGAAGGATAGTAGAAAGTAAAACAATCTAAGCCTTAGTAGTCCTATTGGGAAAGTGGGGTGGCTCCTTTCGTGGAACACACAGGTGACTCGAAAGGGGGAGCTGAGGTAGCTGAGGTCATGAGATGGCCCTCTGCAATGGTTACATGGAGGATTTACTCAACTGTTTTCTTTTTGCTGTGGGGGAGTTCACAGGAAGGGAGAATTCAGAGGCAAAAGCAGGCTGCTGCAGCTGGCAACTGCTGTTCTAAACTGTTTAGCCCAGCCAGCCTATGTGGAAGACACTGAGTTCCCAATCAGTAGGTAGGTAGACAGGCAGATATGGATTTAAGCTTGGATCAACTCTTGGTAGGTTTCCACTGCCACTTGGATCCCAAGCCCAAATTGGCAATTACGATGAAGATGGGATGGTTGCTGACGGCTACCATGCCTCTACAAAACTGGGCTGAACTTCAGTTATGACCTCGGTGGACTGAAAAGGAGCCAGTGATTTAGACATGCTTGCTAGTGCATATATATAGTTGTGTGTTTTCTTTGGACAAGTCTTGGCAGTGAAAATTCATTGGAGTATTAAAAAAAAAAGCAAAACCTTGAGATTTTGGGGAGAAAAAACCCAGAACAATGAAATATTTGTTGGTTTGAAAGCAAGACATCTGGAATTTCAGAATGTGAATTAATTATTGTATATTTTACTTTTTCACACTTATCTATTCCCTTGTTTTTTTTTCCCTCCCCTTCTTTCCACCCCAGTAACATATACTATTCCCAATTCTCAGCGATTTTGAATAAAATATGTGTTACTTTCTGTTTACACCAATATCATTTCCTATTGGCAGACTAGTGTCCTTAGCAACAGTCAGCAGAAACAAGCCTGTGGCCATAATTGCAAGAAAAAAGAAGTAATCCTTTTTAATGAAAGTGCTGACTACCCTTCTTGCCTTTTCTGTTGCTGCATACTGCTTAGGGAATTGTTCAGATAGCAACTGTTGGTGTCTCATCACTTCTACAACTCATGTGATGAGTCTTCAGATTAAGGCTGGTCTGGAAAAGCTGTATGTTTGTTTTTGAAAATTGCCTCGTTAGAATACCGTACCTCCCAGTAGAGAAGTGTTCTCAGTATATGCATCCACTTAACTGTAGCCCTAAGATGACATGTTTGGTTGATACTAATTTAAAGCCTACTCAACTTTTCACATCTGGGGTATTTGGAAAGAATAGTGTAGGATTCATCCAAAATCAACACCACAACTTGATTTCTCTTTGAAAAACTTTAATGGATAAAACAAACTAAAATTCACTTTTAATAGGTTCAGGAAAAGAGAGTGACATTGGTAGAAATAACTTTTTCCCATAATTTTCAGTTTTCATGTGAAAGGATAACATTTTCTCCTAAAAAAGCATATGCATTGAAAACAAAAGCTTCAAATGCTCACGGAAGGAGATATTTTTAAAGTAGTTGGACTGAGGATCTGAAAATAGCGTGTTACCTAAAAATGTGAGCCTTATGTAAAAGAACTGTAATATTTCTGAAAATCAACAGAACCGAAATTCTAAGCAAGTTCTTTATGTAACAGAAAGGCAGCATAGCTAAAAGAAAGCCTGAAATTGCTAGATGAGATGATATGGCCAGGATAATAAACTAGTGAAGGTTAAGTATTAGGGTCAGTCACTAATGTTGCAACAGTATACTGGAGCCTCAAACTAAAGTGTTCAAAGCTTAACTAAGTTTAGTGGAAATGTTTAGATTCCAGGTGAGAATTACCTATACATTGTGGTTCTGGAGGGAAATGAGGAGAAATTGCAAATTACAGACAAGGTGACAGGAAAGATAACCAAAGGTGAACTTTCTGGACACGTTTATCTACCTGGGTCTAACTCCATCGCATTGCTCTTTTGCTGCAAGTTGTGATTATCTCCAGTAAAGGGAAGTTTACTCAAGGGACACACATTTATGTTTGATAACAAGCCAAGGGCCCACTGCCTAATGTACATAAAGCCAACTTTGTAATACCAGCATTTTGAAAGAACAAAGTGTTTGTGAATCAATGGCAAAATGATAGTAATTAAAAGTCAGATCATCTTCTTTTCCA